TGTTAACCACTAACAAATTGCTCAGCGCATTACGCAGCTTCGAACTAAAGCAACAATCCAGGAACGAATTTGCGGGCCAAAAGCACCTATATGGAAGTTGTAGGTGAAAAGTGGTCGAACGTAAAAAGAAAAAGTGAAGAAAACGCCCAACTGGGGCTTAGACAGGGACATGCCCTGCCGTTTAGGGAGACGTGTGTTGGACGAGTTGTCCGAATCTGCTCGCAGTAATGCGCTTCAATTGCGATTGCTTGCAAATACTTGGCTGATTGCTAGCAACTGTAATTGAAGCGCACGCTGAAATGAAACCTTGAATCGAAGGGGACACATTGAAAATCAAATACATTCGGCATCGAATTTTCAAAGGATAGACCTCAAATGGTCGCGGCGGTCCCGCAACGACCGCTAGTCAAGCATGGACTCTGCACAGCGTATGTTGAACGATCCGCCTCGGTATGAGTGATCCGCCCCCTCCAAGAGGACTTCGACCCCTTCCAGCGCATTTTAGAGGTAGGTTTTGAACTTAAAGACATTTCCTATAAACTTTAGTTGGGCTGGGGCATGTTTTGACCGCCTAATGACCAAGTAGTTGAAACCCTGCCTGGACTGTTGCTTTAAAGGCGAGAAGCTGGATGAAATAGGTGGAACAGAGTTCACTAATGAAGCTAGAGGTGTGGTGTGGTCCGGAAAAAAAGAAAGCAAGTGAAGCCCCGATTACGTCTAGCATGAGTACCTCCGCTATTTCAGCCTCCACCTTGAGATGGAGAAGGGGCGTGCTGGACGTGTCTAGCCGCATGCCCATCTCAGCATCCTCATTTCAGCGGAGTGGATCTGCCTTTCGTGGTTCTTGTTCAAGGGCCAGCACTCGCTGCCGTATATCATCGCAATCCTCACCAGTATGGTGAGATAATCACCTTCCGGGATCGACCTAATGGCATCGTCGAGGCTGAGGTAGAACTCGTCCTTCTCGGGGCATCCGGCTTGCGGTGCGTACACGGAGAGTATGGTCCAGTACCCCTCCTTCGTGTCTATCCTCACAGCCATGATCCGATCGCTGATCCTGTTCACAGCGGAGACATAGTCCTTGAGCGACTCCGCTACCGCTATGGCCACGCCGTGTCTTCTCCATTGTAGTAGAGCTTGACACCTTCCCGATTTCCCTGGCCTTAGCACCTTTCCATCGCGTCTCCTGAAGGCATAGGACTTGGATATTCCTGCGCGTCATCAGATCAGCAACCTCTCGGGACTTCCCAGTTAGCGATCCTACGTTCAGAGTCCCAATTCGAACTAGCTTCTTTGGTCGTTCACTCCTCAGCCCTCCGGCCACAAAACTCGGGTGGGGGTTCTGCTGACGTCCTAGCTTTATCACTGATTCCCTTTTGGACTTTAGACATGTTGTGACGGGGGTCTTCATCAGCCGGCCTGTCAACCTGGGCCTGACGCTGGTACTAGAACCATTTTTGCAATTTTTGCAAGGCATGGTTAACCTCGGCAGGGATCGAACTCGCGGTTTTCAGAGGTGCAGACATGAGTTTGACCAAAAACGTTTGTCTGCGGAAATGAAAAATGCAAGCGTATGATGCTCTGTTCCAGCTTAATATATCTACCACATTTTACTGTGCTGATAGCGCGGGACTACAATATAAATATTTTATTATTTGTCAGTCAGTTCGTCACCAGCTAATATTTCATGGTATGCCTCACCTCGATGTGGCTGAGTGGCTGTAATGGCATGTGACGCTGCTTCCCGTGTGAGCGCTCCGGAGGTCACTTCCCAAATCGTGCGCCGTTTTGGCCATCCGAGCACTCTCCGGGATCGGTTTATTGGTATCACATTTCTTTGAGGGCATAAGAGCAGTGACTTGTATATCGTCTGGCCCATATCACTGCATCGGCCAAATCGCATCCAAAATTCTGCCACGATTCTGAATGGCAATAAAATGCGAAGCACCTCACGAAAAGAAATTGACGAGCTCTGGTTGCTTTATCCTTATCCTAATCCTTATCCTTTTGTGCTACTACTATTAGCTTTTTATCGCGAAGCAATGCGAAGGGGTCATTATGCTGCAAAGAATGTGTTTCATGCAAGAGAGAGGTTGCTTTTATGGTGTTCACGAGACGCTCTATTTCAAGCGGTTTGGATTTTATTTCTTTTTTTGCCCTTGTCCCGATTTTTTTTCCAAAAAATTAACTGCTTTGTAAAACTTTAGGCTGGAAGCAAGCCAAAGTCTACTGTAAAGAAGACTCAGATGAGTGGCGAACCGGAATATAAAGTTAAAATGCCAAAATCGATAAATTTGTGATTATTTGCAACACATGGAATTCTATGTATGTACAATTACTGCTGCTCAAATCAGAAATAGTGAAACTTGTATCCATCCTTTAAAAGTAAATATTTCATTTGAAGTAATTTACATGTAATTTCATGAAACACCAAAATATGACAAATTATGCAAGAACAGTTGACCTGGATCAACCCCTCATTGCGCAAATTCCAAATTTTTACGACCCCCTCCCTTTTAGAGAGTATCAGTACGACCCCCCGTATTAGCTACTGTATTAGCTATTTATGTCCTTTTACATATTTTATGCCCATCATCGATGTATGGGCCTTCATCAACATGGAAAGAAGTGGTGCACAGTGGGAAGTCGCAATGTTTTGCCTAAAGGATGGGAATTGAGGCAAGTATGGAATTTCACTCATTAAATAGAAGGAATTTCCAAATTTTGCGTAAACCAATACATGATTTAATCACAAAGATTTCTACTTTCAGAAACCTACCAAGTTTTTTTCGATCTCTCAATTTCCTTTTTATAATCTGAAAACTAAACCTTGTAGCAATTACGTTGCAATCCAAACCCCTCCATTCAGAAGGTTATATTTTTCTTCAGAAGCGGTCTCATGAATGGACACAAAATTTAAAAATCAAAATTGTTCTCTTCTAAGAAGTTTTTTGAAATGTTGCAAATGTTCAATTCTTCAAAAAATCGTCCCGTTGTTCCGTTTTTTGTGCACACGCGAGTTTTCGACATTCAAACATTCATAACTTTCTTCATAATCAACTTTTTGCAGATGTTAAGGCTAATTAGAAACTAGAAGATTAGCGCTTTCAAACAAGTACCTGACTTTTTTCCAAAGATCCCTCTCTCAAAAAATAGTCCCGTTGTTCCGTTTTTTCCCCTTGATTTTTCAAGCCATTTTCCTGAAACGCGACTTTGCAATCTTCAAACGTCCATAATTTCCTTCAAAATTCATATAATGAGAAGCGGTAAAAGTATTGAAGTCTACATGAAGAGTGCTTTACAACGTATGCAAAATTTTCCTGAAAAGCTTTCTTCTGCCAGAATTTCTGAGGTGGTCCCTAGAAGTCAATTCAGCTTAACTTTCTTCCACTTAGATTTGTTCTGAAAGCATCAAGATTTCTTGAGGAAGTTTGTCTGCTTCACGGCCGCTGACAGATAAAGCGTTTTGAAGGAAAACGCCTGCTCGGGGTACGCCGTGCACCTGTCTGTGGTTAGCAGTCGCACTCGCATTTGAAAGTCCTCCACTCCCCTGAAGACGGTAATAGTATCGCGATTGTAGTTGCGTTGTACTGCTATATAGCATCCTGTCCTCTCCATGCACCGCGGGTCCCTGCGTATTCCGAAATACGACCACCTCGTTGTTCTTTGCGCAACGGGCGGTTGACCCTGCAGTCGACAGATGCTCGCTCTGGGTCATTTCTTGTGCCACCTACCAATAGCATTTGAGCTCCCTTCCTCATCCTTATCCCTACACTTCTCTGCTTTTCCCGCCCTAGGGACTTTCTGAACATATCTATAACCTCCATCTGAAATAAATAAATTTCCGCGTTCAAAACGATAGCTATTGATACAACGCCTTCAGGCCTTTAAACGACGAGATTCTCGAAATGTAAGGCTAAATAAATACCACATCCAAAACCTGTATGACTAGAAACGTAAATAACCATCCTCCCATATTTCGTGGCAAAATCCGGCGCAGACTCCATCCGCCCATACCTTTCACTTTATTCGATTGTCGTTCTGCTCACTTTTTTCCCGTTTCCCAGGAAACTGGATGAATCGACCTGGAAGGCCTGAAATTTTGAAATTCCAGCACAGGGTACATGTCGTTTTTGCGGGTTAAGCAACAGGGAGTCCTTTCGCTCCAACATTTATACTGTAAAGGGTTGCCGTGATTACGGCTGGTGCTAGTGGGAAAACAACAAAATTGCTCGTTATGCTAAAGGAAAAACAGCGGAGACCACACGTTCCGAATCTGAGCAGCTGGAGTCCTAAACCTTACATGAGAAATTCTGTTATATCCACATCGATGATCAGCCCCCTTTCTACTGCTGTCTTTAAAGTGGTCAAAAATTGAGAAGGTGTGAGCATTATTTTTATTACGAGCACAAATGTTTAAAAGCAACCGATTTTCATAAAACATCAAACCATAGCATTTATGATTGGCAAGAAGTCTCGAAGTAGTCGCTCGTTTTTGATACGGACCTCAATTTGTTTCTTCATCGAATCGATGATGCAGCGCAGGTGTTCAAGCATATCAATGCAAATTTTATAAATTTCTTCGGAAGGTCCTCCGGCTTTTTGCATGCCGATTCCTTAACACCTCTTCAACAAAGCCACAGACAATTTTAACGGGTTCTATTTCCAACTGTAAGGCCACAAACCATCACCAAAAAGGGGCCGATGCTGGTCTCAAAGAAGAGGATCGTTACATTAGTCTATGGACTGAAGCCCATCCCTGTGGAAAGGTGAAGTTGTCGTGATTCCGTAACTATTTTATTGATAAAATTCTGCAGGGCTCTTCCGAAGCACTCCCGAGCACAGCTGTGAAACTTTCATGAAACGAAATCATTGAAGGTGTTTTTGATTAAGGATGTCCTGAGAGTTAGGTTGAAAGGTGGAGGGCGAATCTGAGCCTTTTCAGCTGCCTAAACGTTGAACTGTTTTGTGAAATTACAGGACGTCCTAAGCACGTCGAAGATTGAAGAATCCTATAACTGCTGATTTTTTCCCTCCGATTTCTTTTTGCTCATTCATTCCTTAGTAATTCTCTGCACCCATCGAGTGTTAGGACCCCGCTTTAATTCGCTAGGGTTTAGATGGATCTTTCTCTCCGTGTTGCTTTCCAACTTTCTGGACGGCTCCTCTAGAGGCTGTGAGCCTCAAAGAAATGTCGAGCTCTCGGTCCAACTCTTTGCCACGCAAAGCGTTTAAGATTGAGCACGTCTTCGCCAGAGTTGGAAATCGATGTTCTTCTTCCTTTTTTTCCTTCTTCTACAAACCAATTATCAGCAAAAAACAAATATTTCGAAAAGGACAACTACGCATAACGTCATCCAGTGTTTAGACACGAAATATAACGCGCACGTGTTTCGCCACCGTATAGTGAGGCGGCCCAAGATTTGGAGTCAGGCTAGCACTCCCCGCCATACAATGTTTCTCTTCGTGTAGCAGTCTCGTAGATCTTCAATTCGAGGCATTCTTGAATTTTTTTTGTTACAGAGGACACCTGTCATAAATGCCACGTGGATCACTCACCGCGTGAGCTCACAGCTGTTCTTATACGACCATCAGCCGCGACCGCTGACCCAAGGTACTTGTACATTGTTGTAGGTGACAGCTCTATGCCATATGTTTCCGTACAATTGCATACACCCGAGTCGGTTGTCAAGTACTTTGTCTTTGTAACGTTCAGCCTGAGTTCGAACATCATTTAACGGTCGGAGCACGCCTTAAATTGCTGTTCAGGAAGGTTTGTATCCTCACAAGCGAACATCACGTCATCATGAAATGGAGCTTGAATGGATTAGATAGAGCCTCCATCGGTTTTCGAAGATCTCGTGGGGTGGCACCCATGAAGACATTAAAAGGAAATAGGGATGTGCCGATTCAATGCACCCGACCAGAATTGAGACATCCAATCGAGGAGTTTGCTGGTTT